CACAGCCATGCGTCCTCTATGGGAACCTCCCGGAGGAGCCTAAAAACCCTTAAACCCTAAACCCTGAACCTTAAACCCCAAGCCCTAAACCCTGAACCTGAAGCCCTAAACCTAAACCCTGAACCTTAAAACCCTCAACCCTAAACCCGGAATACCCTAAACTCTAAAGGCCTGACCTGCTTCGCAGGAGCTGGCACATTCGGGGAGCTACGTGGGTTCGGGTGCTCGTTGACGTTGGGCGCACGGAACTCCAGGATCTGCTGGGCACAATACCACACACAGGAGCCGCACCTAGTGGGTTTAGGGTTTAGGGTTTAGGGTCTAGGGTTTAGGGTTTAGGGTTTAGGGTCTAGGGTTTAGGGTTTAGGGCTTAGGGCTTAGGGCTTAGGGTTTAGGGTTTAGGAGGGATCTTACTACTGAAGTTAGAACAGGATGCTGGGGTCTACCAAACTACAGTTATGTAAGGGCTTTAGGGGGATACTCGCAAGTTAGAATAGAGTGTTGGGGTATACTCGGTGTTAAGGCATCCGAGTGTTAATTATTCAAACCCATTTAGTAGTGCCCGTCCGTCTCAAGCCGTGACCCCTAACGAGCCCTAAATCCTGGACCGGACCCACACTAGTAAACCTAATAGTAAACCTCAACCGGCAAACCTGGTGTAAGGGCAGGGTTCAGGGTTCAGGGCTTAGGGTTTTGAGTTCAGGGCTTAGGGTTCAGGGTTTAGGGTCTGTGGGCTTTCTGGTAGCTGCGAACATTTTGCGTTTGAACCATGCTGGAGTTCTGAACAAATAGGGGTGGTCCTTGTAAGAAGAACCATACTACTCACGGTCTATCTTGGGGGCCCCCTACCGTCCGAAACTCATTGCAGAATTCTAAAGTCATACACCAGCACTTCATCCTTTTCTGTTTATGCCGCCCCTAAGCCAGAAACCCTAAACCGTAAAACCCTAGACCCTAAAAGCCTCATCGCTAAACCCAAAAATACCTTGAACCCTAAAAGCCATTAAAGTCCCTTGGCCCAGAAAGCTCGGAGAAGAGGGTTCAGAGGGGCGGGGGTTCAGAGTCCAGCGACTGGAGAAATGGCCACACCCCCAAACCGTTAGCACCCCTGCGGAGCGCTTATAGAAACACGATACCCAGAGAGACCCCTACCCCTCAATGAAGGAATAAGCTTTAAACTGTAATATGAAGGCATGTGAAATCCCCTACTGTACTTAAGGTATATTCGTTAATTAACGGGTATCGGGCTCTCTGGGTAGAAACCCTGTCAAGGAACCTCGTTCTGCTTATTCAAGGCCCCTCCAACCCTTATGCGAACCCCTAGGTGCCCTTGTAGGGTTCAGGGATTTGGGTTTAGGGTTTAGGGTAAATAGATCGATTGTAAAGGAACCCCTTACAGTAATATTCAAACTTCAAGACTCTCAACAGTGAACTGAAGCGAGGGGGTGTCGTCGGGGGTGAAGGTTGAGGAAGGTCTGGCCTAAGGCTCCCGTGTCTCTGTGACCTGGGGCTTCAGGCAACTTTAGCTCATGGTGCAGTCCGAAGGACTTGATGCAGTCTACATTCCGCAGCTGGCCCATCTCGTCAAACTCGTTGTGAACGTCCAGCTGCATAGGGCACACCCGTGTGCACTGCCCGCATTTGAGGCAAGCATCTGGATCAACCAGAGTGATGAGGGGCTCACACTTGTTCGAGCTCTTGCCGAAAATCTTGTGATGGATCCAGTGCATCGCGATTTGCCAGGTGCCCATTGGGCACACATAGCAGAATGAGCGCGGGCCGCAAAGAATTCCCATGGCGATGACCATCGAAACGGAAATTAGCCACATCCGCGAGCCAATCATTGCGATCTTCTTCCAGAAGTCCGGACCTTCGAAATCCTCCCAACATGGGCCAGTGCACATATGGAGTTTCTAGACGTTCTAAACGCAGTAACCCCGCTGTCACCAGCGCAATCACTATCAAAAAGCATCAGAAAGTTGGTGAACAGTTAGACTCATTAGATGCTAGTGACACCTTCAGTTCCGAGCAATGTTGGTATGGACCCATCTCAAGCGCGACACGTGGAGCAACATTTACAGAACTTCCGCTTGCAGCAACTATGACGAGCTACATACCTAGACCCTCCATCTACCCTCGATTAGACCCTAAGTGCCCATTTTTGGGGACCATATACACACCCATTATTTGAGGGTACAAAAAGGATCCTGGCAAGTACTTGTAAGCGCTGGCAAGAAGTCAAGCACTCACAGTAGACGGTATCAGGAACGGATGCTTTGCATCTGCGCCAAGCTAACACGAGGCCGTAATACTTATACTGAGGATCCCCAAGGAACAGCGTTCCTAACTATTTAGACCCCTTTGCTGAAGTGTTCGAATCAAGACCGATCCTGGCATTCCACACACGCCATGATCACGCGAGACACGAAGAATGTAATGAGGATGGCGAAGACCAGCAACCTGACTGCCCGTAAACTCCTGAACCCTAAACCCTGAACCCTGGACCCTAAACCCTGAACCCTGATCCCTAAACCCTGAACCCTGAACCCTACACCCTAAACCCTGAATCCTAAACCCTATGAGCGAAGTCCAGTAACCTGACTGCCGGGTGTTTGAGCACCTGGCCCCAAGGCGGGCTGGGAGACTGGATGTTGGCTCATGTAGGGGCCTTAATAATTAGAATATCGTTTTTTTTAATTTTTTTGGGTGGGTATATTATGCTATAACAGTCATGAGGGGCCCCCAAGATGGTATAGGTAATTATTTTATGGCCTCTAGATTAATGATGTGCCTTAGGATTCGGGGCGGGCTTAGAGTTTCACACGCAGGGCTCCTATGAAGCGCTTCCCGAAAGGGATACCAGACTGGTGTCGTATAGGGGCCTCAGTAGCTAGAACAAGGTTCTGACAACTACTATGATTACAACAAGGAACCATCAGGGCTCACGTTTATCATGCTCGGAAGGTCCATGAAGATACCACATCCTCACAAGTCAATGCTTCTAAGAAGGGCCACGCGCTGTCGGGGCGACTCGAGCTCTACTTGGGAAGTTCAGTACGGAAGCAGTCACCCGTTCTACTTTGCGTCTAAGCCTCGGGGTTCAGCCTTGCCTTACTGGTCCCGCAGGCCTTTTTTCCAGGCTACTTGACAGACATTAGCTCAAAGAAGACTGCAAAGGTGTACTCGCAAGCATGCTTCTATTATATGCTGTAACGCAGAAACACAAACCAAAGATAGTTTCCCCTTGCCATCCCAACAAAAGTTTAGTGCAAAGTGCACCGAAGCATTGCCCCGCTGCTTACCATTTAAACCTTTGCATTCATCAAGAATCAAGAGCAAGGAGAGGCACGCCTCCGGGATTTGGCCCACGGTGTCGGGGGCCCTGCGGATTAAGGGCAGCGCGAAGAGCTTTGCATGGACCATGCGAAGGGGCCCGTCCATGAGGGCGCCACGATCGCAGAAGTTGCCGCACCACTCGCGGCCCCGGAAGAAGCCCAAGAGAGTCAGACCTGCCACACATCAGCTTCAGAAATCACTGGTTCAAAGTTGAAGCAAGGCAGTGGCCTTGTGGCTTCAGGGAGAGAATGCCATACCACCAAAATATTATACCAAAACATCATGCAATATACTACGGCATATTCATATCTGCTGTAAGTTACTAAAATATACTGCAAAAAAATCTGCTAACAGCTGTCGTTGGCCAAGCAGTGAGGGCCTCTGAGAAATTTCTTGAACAACAGCCTTTCTCTCTTAGAGCTGCGTCTGTAGCTCGCATCACCCTAAATCCTAAAAAAAAAAAGGACCTTGGGATTAGGGCACTATTGGAGACTGTAATGTACGATACGATACTGTATGCGCACAGACTAGAATACGACAATATCTACACGCATCTCCAAGGCACCTGTCATGATGGGCACCAGGACCAGGCCAAGCCACGGAAAGAAAAGGCCGCCGTAGGCCACTGCCAGGCAAAGGACCCAGTACACACGGCGGAACCAAGAAATGTGCTTGTAGTCCTGGCGGTAGTACGGCACCGTCTTGCCTGAGTTCTGAAGTCGGGGTCGTTCTAGCAGTCTTCAGCAGATGCGACATCACCAGCAACAACCCTGCATGAGTCATGGAAAAGTCGGTCGATCGAAATCTAGACCCATGATTGATGAACGCCATCCCTAAACAAGGATTATGCTTGGGAGCCCGGTTTTCAGGCCCTTAAAAACCTGATTTATCAGAGGCCTCATTTAGTGGACTTCCACGCAACCTTGCAGAACTGTTACACCAAAGTCTAAACCCTAAACCCTAAACCCTGAAACCCTAACCCTTAACCCTTAAAAAACACGGAAAGAACTCGAAGCCCAAGCTTCACAGCGGCGGGGCGTGCACTGGCATCTTGATAACCACAGGCTCGTCACCTTTAAGTTTCAATCTGCGGCGTTTGGGGCCTCGGGGATTCTTCTGAAGCCTTGGGTCGAGGGTTTAGGGCTCAGGGTTTAGGGTTTAGGGTTCAGGGATTAGGTTTTAGGGTTAGGGTTCAGGGTTTAGGGTTCAGGGTTTAGGGTTCAGGGTTTAGGGTATTTTTTAAGTGCCGGCTTTAGGGTTTAGGGTCTAGTACAGAGGCCTGCATTGTTCAGACTAAGTTGTGCTCGTGGTGCACTTACTATAGTCTCGTGGATCAACCTGCAGAGTAGAATTACGATCTAGGGCTTGAAACTGAGACTTCAATTGACTTTACAGGGTAGATGGGAGTCTTACAGACATGAGAGCTCGCCATGACAAGAACCTACAACCATTTGTGATATGCTTGTCGGACATATACCGCTCAGTGCTACGTCCTCTGATCCTCTCAGCACTTCTCCATGGAACCTGTACTGCCGAATCCTTTGAACGACACACAACAATAATATTCGGGCTTAGTCATAATAAGAATAAGGCTTTGGGGTATGTGATACTATAATTTTGACAAGGAGCCCAACAAACTAACATTGATAATCGGTTAGGCTTCTGTTTTGAATATTGGAGCTCATGGTTGGACTTGCCGTGATTTGAAGGCCTCAGACCTAAACCCCCCAAAACCCCCTGAAACCCCAAAGCCCTACAAGCCACAAACCCACCCTCTGCCTAGCACTGATCGCGGCACATTGCTCAAATTTGGGTCTCGGGTTGAGGGCATCCTCAAATGATATGAAGCACGGTCTTTCTTACCTGCATCCCCACAATCGAGCCCAGAATCTACACTCCACTCATGCTCCTGCGGAGCCCCATTTCCACCCGCCGATATCCCACCCCTAGGCCCTAGTTACGAGGTCATGTGAGGACGCTTCTTCCATGTTTTGGGTCCCACTCTCATGCAAGGGTTTAGGGTTTAGGGGTCGGGGTCTTCCAGATTTCGAGTGCACTGGGGCGCGAAGAGAAAAAGACCCCTGGAGCCCCTTCTTTGCGTGCCCCGGGGCACCTTGTGCCGCCACCATAACTCGAGGAGCATTCTGGTACCTTCTGTAGCTTGCTCGGGGCCTACACCCCCCTAAACCCAAAAATGACAAACCCTAAACCGTAAACTCAAAAAGGACGAACCCTTACTCCAAAAGCTTTGGGTGTTGGGGAAGAATCTGAATCGAACGGAGTAAACCAGCTTCCAGGTACTAGCGTTCAGGGTCGGCAGGGCTCAACTTCTTGGCAAAGTAATGAGGTTGTTTTGGGATGTAGGGGCTGAGGGTTTTCCAGAAAATAGCTTAATTATTTTTTAAGCTTTCGCCGAAAAACTTCAACCTCATGCCCTAAATCGCCAACCCTAAGCCCGAAGAAGAGCTGAAAACCTTGCAAGGCTGTAGCTGAAGCCCTGACTTCTGAAGCCGTGGTGCTTCAGGGGCGCTCCCACTGCACCGCCACACCTGCCAGCGGGCCGGACACAGGGAACCGTCTCTAAAGTCCGTTGCCGTAGGCTGGAGTGGGTCAGAGGGGTTTAGGGTTTAGGGTTTAGGGTCTAGGTTTCAGGTTTTAGGGTTTAGGGTTTAGGGTTTAGGTTTTAGGCTGAAGTATTGACAGTGACGATAACAATACTAACCATAACTGGACTACAAAAAGATGATAACAAGAGTCAGGCTTTGCTTGCAAACGAATGTTTAGGGTTTAGGGAGCGTCGGTCGCCAGGGCTTAAGGTGCCGTAATATTCTTTCCCGTTGGTCTGCGGGCAAGATTTCAAGCTCAAATCTCAAGTTTAACCCTTGTTAAAGCCGGGCTTATGACTCAGCCACCGTGTTGGCAAGAGCGTCGCTCATTCGGTAGAGTGGAGCTCACTAAACCATATGCTCTCAAGCCCCAAGCCGCGGATGACTGCTGGGATTCTGAGACTTTCCTTGATGCTCAATGCCTAAATTCTTGGAATCCTTTATAGATCCGTTTCAAGGAACCCGCATGGAACCACTTATAGATTCCTTTAAAGGAACCCTTCGCAAACCCATCATATGGACGCCGATACAGGAACCCTCAGGCCTTGCATCGACGATCCTTTCTTCAACGGTCTGGTCTGCCATGGCTTCTGAGGAGCCTCGCACTGATCAACAGCTACCTGCACCTTTGAGCAAAATGCTTGCAACATGACACGTTTTAGGGTTTAGGGTTTAAAGTTGGGGTTTAGGGTTTAGGGCTCAGGGTGTTGTTTAAGGTTTAGGGTTTCGGGCGTAGCGTGAAATAGCGGAGGTGTGGGCTAGTGTGTATCAGTGAGTGGCACATCACAGGCTCTGTATGAATGAGCTTCAGTCATGTCCTAAACCCTAAACCCTAAACCCTAAACCACCACTGAAACCGAATGTCATGGATCGTAATTCTTCCGACCCCGCTACTTACCAAATCTTACAAGTCCCAAGCCCCCACTCTCAGCCCAGCCCAAGTCATAACCCAAACTCCTAGTCGCTTTGCAGCGAAGACCCGTTAGCGCTATCGGACTCCTCTCGTCAGGGTTTCTTTGGGGTTTGGGCTTAGCTGTTGAGGCTGCTGCAGTTTTCAGGGCGAGGTGCAACAAAATCTAGGTTTCTATTGACACCTTAGCTGCTTCGTCGGGACACCCATCGCATGCGGGCCTGAGAGAGTGGTGAGTGGCGCCCGCTGCTGCAGCTCTGATACGCCATTTACAACCTTCCGACTGCGTCGCTGGGGGGATGTGGCTATAGAACTCCAGGTCATGCGTGTCGGGTCTTTTTGCATAATCAGCCGTCAGTGGTCATACTGCGAGGAGTAACTGAACATCAGTAGTAGTTGCGGGCGCGCTGGACTTCAGCATCAGGGCTTTGTTTTGAGGGGTTCTTATCCGGCTACGCACTACAAGGGCTTGACAGAGGTTCTAAAAGGGTAGCAGAAGGGATTTAGAAGGGTCCTTTAGAGGTTCTGTAGTTCTGTAGTGGGGCTCCCACCCTAGACCCTAAACCCTAAACCCCAAACCCAGAGCGAAGGGGTTGAGGACTGGGCCTGGAGCGAAAACCCCTAAGCCACGAGGCGCCGGATCCCAAATCCTAAACCACTGAGCCCTCCAAACCCCAACTTGTAAGATGAATCCTTACGGTTTAGGGTTTAAGGTAAACCCTAACTTGTAAGATGAATCCTTAGGGTTGTGTTTATAGTTCGAAGCTCCGCAAATCCCATTGTCCTGTTGTTCCTGAACCCCCCAACGCTGTCGGGGTCCCGGCAGGCACAGCCGTCAGAGCGGTGGGTGGTGTGACAACAGGATACCCCCGAGCGATGCACGGGACCTTGTCGGAATGTGGTGCTTCAGCTTTGGGACTTCGTTTTCTTCTTCGGGCTCTCAATGTGTAGAGCTTCGGGTTGCTTTCAGGATCGAGGAACTGATCAATATTGCACCCTGCATCCCGCATCTGCTGAAGACCTTGCGTGGACCTGGTGCTCTCGAGAGAATGTGTCGGGGCAAGGGCGAGATACAGGAGCCTAAACTACAAAGGTCGTGCCACAAACACCCCGAAACCCAATCCGAACCGAAATTCTAGCTATACTTTGGCCGTCTAGGGCACGGCAGGCGAGAGATCGATGTGTGCATGGCGTACTACAACAGCAACATAGAGGCCTTAATAATTACCTATACTTTCTTGGGGGCCCCTTTGTTTTTAAATAGCTATAGTACAACATACCCCAAACCCCTATTCCAGATATCAAGGCCACTATATTAGTTGAAGGTGGCCTTCTTGGGGCTTAGGGCCTCTTGCGCTGAGGGCCGCAAGAAGCTCGTGCTTCGATGTCTCACACTACAGGCTACTGTTGGGGCCCCAACAAAGAGAACAAGGCTTTGGGATAAAATATTGTTGTGGTGGTGGTAACCATTATATTTCAGGGTTTAGGGTTTAAGGTATAGGGTAGTAGTGGTAACCATGAAGCCCCTATATTGCCATCGTCTTCAATCTTCTACCACTGCACTGTTTCATTGTTACGACAGTGACTGATACTGCAACGACCACGGACACTGTCAGTATCACTCGATTATTACCACTATAAATAGTAATAACATGTATCACTCCATTGTCACTATCATTGCCCTCTGAGCCAGCTGCCGACCGCACATCAGGGACACCTGGTTTCGGGCTTATGGCTTAGCTCCACCGGATATTGTGCGTGCTTGTTCGGCTTGGACAAGGACCTTAAAAGGGACTCTGATCTAGAGAGCTACCCATATGTCACCCTAAATCGGGCATGGGTCTCGCAAGGCCGGGTCTTGGGCGCTGGAGCAAGAGATCAGGGTTCAGGGTTTAGAGCTTTGGGGTTTAGGGTTTAGGGCTTGGGGCTTAAAGTTTAGGGTGTTGGCTTTAGGGTTTGGGACTTGGGGTTTAGAGTTTAGGGTTTGTGGTATGTGTCGTCGCCAGAGCGAGCACTGACAGCGGCGAACATCATGAAACCGAAAGCACCACCACCGCCAATGCTATCCCTAAACCCTAAACCTAAATCCCTAAACCCCAAACCCTAAACCCTAACGCAAAACTCCAACCCTACAGTCAATGCTGAATCCTTCAGCCCGGAGCCCTTGATTTCTCTTGGGAAAACAGGCTCTAAACTCGAAAACCAAAAGCCCACGGCACCTGGAGACCTGGGCCCCCAATCTCCCAAAACTTTTTTGGCTGAGGGCTTAGGATTAGGTGTTTTAGCCAAGGCACCTCCCCCGTCAAAGCGCGACCCTGAGGACGACCTGGCTTAGCTGCTTTTGTTCCGGGTAATTAAGGTTTGAGGTTTAGGGCTTAATACTGCTGAGGGTACCGCGGGTAGCGATGACAACCAGAACTATGACAGCCTGACAGTCTGTCGAATGGCAACTAAGAGTCGCGATGACAATAATGAACACAGTCCCAAACATAATGGGTGCATCGCATTGTGGGGTGCTGATTCGGTTGCTGAGT